TCCTAAATATTGCCTTAACAGCTGGACCAGGCAGTGCCAGGGCACATCTGGACGTGAGCACATGTCAGTGCTGCCCAGGCCAAGGGGGAACAAGTTGGTGCCAGTTCCAGCCCTTTGCCACCACTCAGCACAGAACTGCACCTTCCTCCAACATCCAAGAGCAAAGCAGGTCCTTCCTCCAACAAAGCTTGGATCCAACACAGGGAACTGGCTCAGGAGCCACCAGTGCAGGGCCAGCTCAGCAGAATCCCAGGATCATCCAGGCTGGGAGAGACCTCCAGGATCCTCCAGTCCCAGCACCACCAGAATCACCCCTAATCCATGTCCCCCCCATCCAGATGCTTCTGGAATACTTCCAGAGACAGGGACTCCACCACCTCCCTGGGACACTTATTCCAAGGCCTGACCACTCCTGCAGGGAAAAATTGTTTCTAATCTCTGATCTGAACCTGCCCTGGGGCAGTTTGAGGCCATTTCCTCTCCTCCTTTCCCTTGGGACATGGCAGCAGAGCCCGACCCCCCCTCCCTGCCCCCTCCTGTCAGGGAGTTGCAGAGAGCAATGAGGTCCCCCCTGAGCCTCCTCTTCTCCAGATAAACCCCCTCAGCTCCCTCAGCCATTTTTAGAATCATAAAATCCCAGAATGGTTTGGGTTGGAAGGGACCTCAAAGCCCATCCAGTGCCACCCCCTGCCATGGGCAGGGACACCTTCCACCAGTCCAGGTTGTTCCAAATCCCATCCAGCCTGGCCCGAATCTCAGCTGCTTTCTCACCAGAGAGGAAGATGAACATGGAGACAACGGAGCAGTAGAGCCAATTTTGAGTCCAAACACTTCCAGTGCCATTGAGGTCACCGTGTCCCACCAGGGCTGAGCAGCAGAGCCGGGGCTGAGTCTGACACGAGTGGTGTCGGGTCTTTTTTATCATTTCAAGAAGGATGGGCCACATTTTCAGGAGGAATTCCTTGCTGGAAAGGGTGGTGAGGCCTTGGCAGGGGCTGCCCAGGGAGGTTTGGAGTGCCCAGCCCTGGAGGTGTCCCAGGAAGGCCTGGCCGTGGCACTCAGTGCTCTGGGCTGGGGGACAAGGTGGGGATGGGGCACAGGGGGGATCCATGGGCTGGGAGGGCTTTTCCAACCTCTGGGATCCTGGGATTTGGTGGACAGAGAATGCCCAGGAACTAAAAAGGGCACAGCTCAGCCCACACCACGTGACACGGGACCATCAAGAAAGTCACTCAAAGAATTCCCTTGTTTTGAGGTGTCCCTTCTAATGGATCCACACCTGGATCATCCTGGATCATGGCAAGGGAAATGTCTTCAAAGATCCCAATATTGGCGCTTCCTGGGTTCTTTCCAACCTCACTGATCCTGGGATTCAGCAGTGAGATACATTTCTATGCCTACACACACTCCAAGACAAGGAAACCCATCATATCCCTGATTTCCAAGCTGAAGTTCCATAACTAAATCCCATTTCAGCCTGTCCATAACCCGGGGGTGGGTTGTGGGGAGATGGACGGGGTGGGGGGGAACCAAAACCAACCAAGTTATTATTGCAGATTTGATGAAAGGTTCGGGGGCCAAAGGGTTTTGCATGAAACCCAGGAATTTTTTCCTTCCCTGCTCGAGTTCCAAACCATCCAAATGCTGTGTGGTTTGTGCTCCTGCTGTGAGCAGCTTCAATGGTTGTAGTAATTAGACTATCCCAGCTATACATTAGTTAATAAAGAACATAAATAACCATAAAAATGCCCTGCTTTGCTGCCAGGACTTGCCCAATCCAAGCAAATTCAACAGTGTTTGGCACAATGGGGCATTCTAAGAATTTGTACATAATCTGCTTGCCTTTTTTTTTTTTTGCCTTTTTTTTTTGCAAACCTTTCAAAAAGGAGCTATTTCCATGGTAAGCATGTTTTTCTTCAAGAGATTATACTCCTTCCAAGGCAATTAACTACATTCCAATGAAAACAGGCAGAATTTTAAATAAATGATACCAGGCTGTTGGTAAAGAAAGAGAGAGGGAGAATGAGAACACAATTGAAACTCTGAAATTGTGGTCACTTAAATAAAAACCCTTCTGTGCACAGCTGAAAACAGTTTCTCTCCTAAAATACTGACATTTTACCACGGGAGAAAGAACAAGAGCATTAATCTTCCAGGGGTTTTCACTTGGGTTTGGTTGCCAGAGTGGCTTTGTTGCTGCCTCACGTTATGAATGTTCTAATAAAGACATTAATTACACAATTCAGTGACAGAACAATCAGAAGGGGGGAAAACAAAACCCAACCAAAGCAAGAGAAGTTTTCTGTGGGATCAGAGCTGAGCAAAACACAGAGAATTTGGGGGCAGCAGAGTTTCTGTGCTGAAGGGTTCACTGAGCTTCCCAACACCCCAGTGCCACCCAAAAAATGATCTTTCTGCCCTAAAAATGGGGGGCTGAGACAAGGTGTTTGTTTGGCCATGAGCAAGGAACTGTGACACCGGGGGGGGGGTGACCAGAACAGGTCAAAAGCAACTGAGATATTGGGAAGGAATCCTTCCCTGGGAGGGTGGGGAGGGGCTGGGATAGAATTCCCAGAGAAGCCGTGGTTGCCCCATCCCTGGAAACATCCAAGGCCAGCTTGGATGAGGTCCTGAGCAACCTGGGCTGGTGGAAGGTGTCCCTGCCCATGGCAGGGGGTGGGATGAGATGAGGTTTAAGATCCTTCCCAACCCATTCCATGATTCCATGAACCCGTAGCCCGGTGGGTCCGGTTTGCTTGGACAGCTGCTGGTGACCCCACCAGAGCTACTCCTGGTGTCCCCTCTGTGGGAAAAGCAGCTGCCTCAGGAGGGAAATTCCTCAGGGAGAAGCTTCCAGAGCAACTCGAGCCACCACCAGGAGGAAAAACACCCTGCAGTGCCCAACCTGCCCCCGGCACCACGGAGGGAGAGGGCTCTCCATCCCACGGGGCTGTTGGAACAAAAAGGAGGATCCTTCCAGCTGGATTCCCTCCCTCTGCACCCCAGACCCCTCAGTCTGGGGCCAAGCTGAGCTGGGAACGCCGAGAGCTCAGCTCTTACTCCATCAGTGCCCTCACAGCTCAACAAACCCCCTCCCCGACCCTCCGGCACCTTCCCAAGGTGCAGCATCCGCACAAAGCCGGGGCTTCCAGAGCCTCTGGAAAAGGAGAGCTCTGTGTCTGTCACGTGGAGAAAACCACAAGGGATGAAAAAAACAGGTTCAGGCATCGACAACCAGCTGTGTGTGGGCACAACTTCCAGGAGGTGTTTTTGGAACTCCAAATTCCACCCTGGGCCACCCTCCCCTTCCACGGAGGCCTCTCCGCCCGCCTGGGAAGGCAGGGCGGGCTCTCCCATCCCTCCCCACTTGTCACATGGGTAAACCCCGAGCCAAATTCCCATGGCAAAAAGGGTCCATCCCCACAGAAGTTATAAAAAGCTCTCCAAGCCCCCCTCGGGTCAGAGCCCGGCCTGGTGTGTCCAACGTCCATCCCGTGAGGAGCCCCGGCTGGAAAGGGGGAAAACTCTTGTTGTTGTTATTTCTGTTCCCTCACACCACGGGCCAGGGCCCCTTGATTTTAGGCTCTGCCCAAACAAATGACTCCACAGTCCTTCCCCGGGGTGCTCCCCAAATAGGAGTGTCCGAAAATCCCTCATTTGTCTGCACCTCCCACTTCCTCCGCCAGCATCCACTTCCAGCAGGATTTATGAATGTGAGAAAACAGCTGAACTTGGGCTTCTGGGAGGTTCCAAAGCAGCTTTTCCCTGGGTTCATACATCATCCAGTGGTGGGGTTGGTTGCTCCCCTGGAGCCCATGTGGCTCCTGGTTCTAATCTCAGCTGTGGTGACGACCCGGCTCAGCTACTGCCTGGGAAAAGTTTTTGCTAATTGCCACAGTCTGGGCAAGTGTGTGACAGAGGGACAGATGGCAGGGCCAAGTCTCAATTATGTGCACAAATAAACTGCAAAACCCCGGGAGAAACCAGAGCTTCCAGGGCTTCTTCACTCCCAGACTGTAGGTGTCACATCTGCCTGCCAGCAAAGGGGAGGCACAGCCAAGATCAGGGAACATTCCCATGCCTGGAAGTGTCCGAGGCCAGGTTGGAGCAACCTGGGATGGTGGAAGGTGTCCCTGCCCATGGCAGGGGGTGGCACTGGTTGATCCTTAAAATCCCTTCCAACCCAAACCAGTCTATGATTCCATAAAAGATAAATAAAAAGCTCTTCCAGCCTAAAACTATTTTGGGAAATTTAAGACCCCCTTCCCTCTCTTTCAGCCTAAGATGCAACCAGGAGCTCCAGGCCTCAAGGAACAGTTCTCTGGGACTGGGAACTCCTCAAAGAAGAGCCCCCAGATCCACCTTTGGACGTGCAAACTGCACTTGAGCAGCTTTGCATCCCAGGAGCTTCCACCAGGCAACTTTGCTCCTCTCTCTGGGCCACATTGAAAGTTTAAAACGAGCCTCTCCCACAGCCAATTTTAATTCATTACCACCCCAGCAATTAGCTGAACAACCTCCCTGGGTTTCTGCATTATCCTCTTGTTTTCTGAGTCAAATTTAATAATGTTTCCAGGAGTTCCACAAAGCTACAGTTGTTTTTTTTGTCTTTGATGCCCACCAGGAGCAAGTCTGGGCTAACTGGGCTCCCAGCAATTGAATTCCACCTTTTTTTTTGTCTCCCTGCCTTCCTGGGGAGCTGCTACAAAGGAAGGTTGGGTTTCCCTGGCAAATCCCACAGCTGGGTGAAGTGGTTTGAACCTCCTTTCACATCTTGGGCTGTAAATTTAAAGTCCAGCCCAACATCCACTGTTAATTTATCTTGGAAAGTCTCATGTGGAGAGAGAACCTAAATTTTCTCAGCTCCTCAGTTCTGACAGGCCCCTTTTTTTCCCCCCTCTCTCATAAGTCTCATGTCAAGAATTTGAGCCAAATATGGAGATATCTTATCCTACATCTGCATCTAAATAAAAACTCTGCCACAAATCATATTTTCAAGATTTTTTTCTTCAAGCAATTTATCTTTTTTCTTTTTTTTTTCCCTAGGAGCACATTCTATGGCACCATTTGAGCTACAGAAGGAGGAAAAAATTAATGACAACATCAGAGAGACCCTTTGCTGAGATCCTATTTACAAAGGATGCCCACAAAGCCCTGTTTCCCAGGAAAAAAAAACCAAGTAGCAACCAATGCTCACAGTTAATAACTCTCCCCCTTCTGCCAGTCCTGCTTTTTTCATGACAGATTTAACTGCCTGTGTGGGGTTTGATTTTTCTTATGCACAGTGACTGTAGATCCTCCACTTTGCAACCACAGAGCACCTCAACCCTTATTTCTTGTCCCATCCCAACCTTTATTTCTTTTTCCATGTCAACCCTTATTTCTTCTCCACCTCAACCCTTGTTTCTTGTTCCACCTCAGTCCTTATTTTTTTGTCACACCTCAACCCTTATTTCTTGCCCCTTCTCAACTCTTATTTCCTGTCCCATCCCAACTCTTATTTCTTCCCCATCTCAACCCTTATTTCTTTTTCCATCCCAACTTTTGTTTCTTGTTCAATCTCAACCCTTATTTCTT